AGACTGATGTTAAGAGAAAATGCACATTTCATCTCAGCCTCAGAGCAGTTCTGGGAAACAGATAGGAAACCAAAGCTCTGCAAGAGCTCTCAGGGCCATCGTGACACAGTTGTTGGTCTCATGTTTGGCGACTGGGTCTCCTATTCCTGGTCTCTTTCCTAGGCATAATGCTTTTATATGAAGTCCCTTCTGTTGTTTTTTTGTTTGTTTTCTTTTTTCAGCCTAAATAACTTAGTTTCTCTAAACTTTTCTCCCAGGGACTCTTTTTTAACCCTTTGAATTATTGCTGATTGTTATCTTATAACTTTTATTTTTTTTTCCATTTTGCATGTCATATTTTAGCAAAGCATTAAAAGGAACATGGCACAAAGCACACCCATATTTTTGGATGCTGTGGACTTCATCATGCTGCTTATTCAGTTCTATCTAGTCAGTACCTCCAAGGCATTCATGCTGCCTTACCTCATTCATTCGAAGGCTTCCCTGTGCAAGGTGGAATATACGTAAGGAGGCAAACACACAGGGTTATACGCCTGCTATGCTTTACAGAGGCCTCTTCCAGGAGTGTAATACAGGGGTTGCTCATACTCTGAAGAAAATAGTGGCAGGCTGTTACTGTCATGAGAGCCAGAACGTGGCTGGCTCCTTACAGATGTGGCTTCATAGGGGCATGCCATGTGATTCCTGAATGAGCCTTCTGGTATTAATTCCCTGCTCACTGGGGTGATTCTTCACTTGCCATAGTTGAACCTGCTGTATTATCCCGTTACCTATGCTTTTCTGTGATCCATAGAGGTAATTTAATTTTCAGTGCATGTACCTACCCTGCCTACTTAGTTTCTTCTCAGTGCCACACTTAATTCCTTCACATTTACTGATTAATTAAATGAGAAGACTGTGCCAGGTGAAGGTGCAGCATCTTCAGAACTCTACGTGGTGCATTCCCTGAGGCCGCCCTTCAATAAGTGATGTAATATTCTTCGAGCAGTGTGACCTGTTAGAGGTGCCCAGTCAGGTCAGATGAAAAGCCCTCTGCATTAGTAAAGTATTATAGTTCATTTTCACAAAGCTAGATTAGTTGTTACATGTTGGTTTTTAATATTTGTTTTGCCTAGCCCCAGCAAATATGGAGGTGACCTTGATGTATCTATAGAATATCAGGAATATCTGGCTGGGCGCGGTAACTCACACTTGTAATCCCAACACTTTGGGAGGCCGAGGTGGGTGGATCACCTGAGGTCAGGAGTTTGAGACCAGCCTGGCCAACATGGTGAACCCCCGTTTCTACTAAAAATACAAAAATTAGCCAGGTTTGGTGGCTGGTGCTTGTAATCTCAGCTACTCGGGAGGCTGATGCAGGAGAATCACTTGAACCGGGGAGGTGGAGGTTGCAGTGAGCCAAGATCGTGCCACTCCACTCCAGCCTGGGCAACAGAGCAAGATTCTGCCTCAAAAAAAAAAAAAAAAAGAATATCGGGAATATCCATTTTGTGTCTCAAAGCACATACCTCACAGTTTTCTGGTCCAATTTTTAGGCACTTTATCAGGCCCTCATATGTTTTCAAAAATAATTGCTAATGACTTTGATGAAACTAGGCAAGATATTTCTTGGTTTCAGTGCAGTTCGGGGTTTGCAGCCTTCCTAATGTAATAGAAGAATTTTTAACTAAATTCTCCCCCTTCTCAGGGTGGCTTCCTGCCTTTCCATTCTAGTGCTTCACACACAAATGACAAGCTCACAGGGGACTTATCTAGAAAAGGCAGAGATAAAAATAAGTGCAACGTTAAAAAAAATCTGTCTTATAGTATCATTTAGAGCTTCCTCTCCTTTTCTAATGAAAGGCTACTGTAGTTTCCTTTTGTCCTTTTTTTTGCTGAAGGCTTTTCAGTAATATTCCCATGTGTCCCCCATGGTGCTAAAAGCATGAGGTTGGGGGCAGGCTGACTGGCATTCAGGTCTTTGCCCAGCCTCCAGCCGCAAGACAAGGCGAATAATATTGATCTCATGGTGCTGAAATGAAAATTAACTTCTCTAATCTGTGGAAATGCTTCGTTATAATCCTTAAACACATAGATAAATACATAGGTTGAAATGGCAAGTACCAAGTGTCGATATTATGTCCAGAATTGCCACATGCCATGTCTGCATGATTTTAGCCAGGTGCTTAATAAGGTTGTAAATGAATAGGTTATTAAATGGGCATCTCCCACTGTCTGGGTGTTTGTTTCTGCTTCTCTATTTTCTGTTTGTGTCTCCATTTATTTTAATGCCTACCATTATGTCTCTCAACTCTGCCACCTTCCTATACATGGATATACCAGAGAAATAAACTTTAATTATTAATTATTATTGGTATATAATCGTAATTAAATAAAAACAAATGAATGGAATCTTTATCTTTATCTCCTTTAAGAAAACTCAAAAATTTTTTTCACTTACTGATTAAATCTTCAGTCGTTTGCCCCCAGTGGATCAGTGATTTTTCAGCAGAAAATCTTTCTTCTCCATTGCTTTATGCTTTTGTTGCTAGGCAGTTAACAGCAGGGCTACTAAAGCACTTCTAATTTAGGCAGATCTTTTCCTCTATTTTAGAAATGGATTTCAATGGCGTTCAGTTTGTTTGCAGAAACCTACTGAAAGGTATATATGGTACAGATATGAATGTTTATAATTACAGAATAACAAAGTGAATATTCTGCTGGCTTTTTCTTTTTTCTTTTTTTTTCTTGTGATGGAGTTTTGCTCTTGTTGCCCAGGCTGGAGTGCAATGGCGCAATCTTGGCTCACTGCAACCTCCGCCTCCCGGGTGCAAGCGATTCTCCTGCCTTAACCTACCAAGTTGCTGGGATTACAGCACCCACCATGCCTGGCTAATTTTTTGTATTTTTAGTAGAGACGGAGTTTTGCCATGTTGGCTAGGCTGGTCTCAAACTCCTGACCTCAAGTGATCCACACACCTCTGCCTCACAAAGTGTTGGGATTACAGGCATGAGCCACCATGCCCAGCCTCTGATGACTTTTAAAAAAATAACAGGGAATGTGGGGTCACTCATAGTGTGGAGGGAAATTTTGAGAATTTTAAGCACCTCTGAATCATATTGGCAGTTACAAGCTTTAGGGGTGTTTTGTGCACATTTGATATTTTTCCTTTTTAAAAATCTCCTTCCTTCCATGAACAAACTTTTGCATGGGAAATGACATATCACTTTATTTTGGTTTTTTTTTTTTGATGGCCAGGGAAAGCCTCCTCAACTCAACCGTACCTTCCTCCTCTTACCTCATAGCCCTCAGCTGATCACTACTTCTGTGCCGCCTTCTACCTTCCCGGAAGTTCCGGGTCCATTTAGTTCAAGTTGTAAATATTGACTGAACACATTGTGTTAGTCCAGTCTCTTGTGATTGCAAATGAGATACCACAGGTCAAACAGATTCATTTAAGAGTAGGTGCAGTGGGAGGCGAGCTTATTGAGAGGATGCTCAGGTAGCACGAAAGAATGCAACCAGTGTACCCCTCTACATCCATGTCTTTGTTGCTCAATCTCCTTCCCTCCCCAACCCTTGCATCTGCTTGGAAAGTCCCATGCTGTCTTCTTGGCATCTTGAGGCACGTCCTTTCCTCTGTTTAGATTGTCCTCCTTTCCCTCCTTCCGTCCACTTTGGTCTGGTTAGCTTTTAATTATTCTTCAGGATTCAGCTGAGATGTGTCCGTCTCCTGGACTTCTTCCCTGCTGCCCAGCCTGGGATGCATCCCTCTTATGTGTTTTCATAAAATCCTACGCCCAGGACCTATCTATGCACTTATGTAATAGTTGCTCATTTGCTTGTGCGTTTCAACTGCACTTGGTCTTCTAGAGGGTAGGAACTGTGTCTGATTCATTCTTTCATTTTTTACCCATTGTCTCATTCATAAACAGAGAAAAATATTTGTTGAATGAGTGAACGTGGGATCTCTGTTCATTTTGGTATATTACTTTGCTTTCTGGGCTGAACTCAGGACAGATGCCAAAGCTTTTCCCTCTAATGACATCAAAGCCCTACTTCTAAAACCAGACTGGATGTGATTCCCTTCTACAAACAGATTCAGTAAAGAAATGTGACTGTTCCCACAAAAAGCCCAGTAAGTATGTGGTGGTTTTGATAATAATAAAAGTTTTGTGTAGTATCTAGATATAAATAACAATGACTTAAAATATATGTATAAAATACTTATAAGCGAACCCTAATCGGTGAGCAACCAGGTTAACTGGATGGTGGATATGAACAGAGTGGTGGGAATTGGTCAAGAAGGTGCCTGGGCTTTCTTAATAAACTTGGTTTCACTAAAAAAAAGAAAAGAAAAGAAGGTGCCTGGCAGTGAACATTCATTTTTAGAGGTTTATTTTTCATTTGTTTTCATTGACTCCATTTATTTTGATGACCAGTTTAAAAGCCTTTAAGTAAGTTGAAAAAAACCTTTTACTCATCATACAGTGGCCGAAACCACAATTACTTTTGCACCAACAATTTGTCCTCCCTTATTAGGGGTAACCATAGTATTATAATCTTTAATAACTAATATATTAAATATAGCTATTTTCAATTTATTCTAAGGTTGAAATAGTGCTTGTTGATGCATCAGGGACTCTGATGTGCAGGTCCCACAAAATGTGTAAGAGCACCTTCTCTTTTTTGGCTAAGAGGTTTGTAATCAACTTTGATTAAACTCTTCCGTGGTTATGAATCCATGAAAACCATTCTCAACAATTGTTTTGGGAGTTAGAAATTACAACTACTCTATTTTCTCGTATGTAGCTTTTTTCTTTCAGGATATGTTACTTGACACCTAATATTCTGAGCCTGTGTAATGGTGAATCATTTTAATGGGATCTCACTATGGTTCTAAGAATTCTCATCATCAGAAATGAATGATTTTACCAGAAAGAAAAATGAAAGAGCTGTTTTTACTGACATACTCATACATTCCTTGTTCTTCTCCCTTTCTCTCTCTTTTCTTTTTCAGTGAGCATGTTTTTGAACACATTAACACCGAAGTTCTACGTGGCCCTAACAGGAACTTCCTCACTAATATCAGGGCTTATTTTGGTAAGTGGTGGAGTCTTTCTCATTTAAAACTTTGCTGATTAGTAATATGTATATTAGTGTATGTACAATAAAAAAACTGAAAGAATATACGCTAACAGGTTATAGTGATTATCTTGCTCATGTCTATATGTTGGGGAGTGGACTCATAGAAGCCTTTTACTACCCCATTATATTTCTGAAATATTTGAAAAAAATTTAAGCGATCGTATATTACTTTGTTGAAGGGGGAAAAAAACAAATGTAAATGAAATAGAAAATAAAGGAAGACATAATTCTCTGTCAGATTTTACTATCTAAGATATTGTAAAATAAATGTAACTCAGTTCAACTAAAAATCATCAAAATGGGGCCAGACGCAGTGGCTCACATCTGTGATCCCAGCACTTTGGGAGGCGAAGGCGGGCGGATCACTTGAGGTTAGGAGTTTGAGACCAGCCTGGCCAGCATGGTGAAACCCATCTCTACTAAAAATACAAAAAAATTAGCCAGGTGTAGTGGCGCATACCTGTAATCCCAGCTACCTGGAGACTGAGGCAGGAAAATGGGTTGAATCCGGGAGGCAGAGATTGCAGTAGCCGAGATCACGCCATTGCACTCCAGCCTAGGTGACAGAGCAAGACTCTGTCTCAAAAATAAATAAATAAATAAAACCATCAAAATAGAATATTGTGCAAAATCAAAATCAATAGAAATATAGCTTTTTTAAAAAAATGTATTGACATGGATTGTGACAATTCTAAGGTTTTTCCGCCCTTCATCTTTTCTTTCTAAATTTACATTTATTTATGCATTGCTTCCTTTAAAAAAATCCCAAACGTGCCAAAAAGCAATATGATTATCATTTGTATGGCTCTATTACCTTATCTTTGTAACAGTTGCAGATGTGCTAAATCGTAACACCTGAAGTAGTTAGTTTTAGTGGCCTCAAATGGGGACCATCTAAACTCAATGGTACTACTCTAATAGAATTAAATGACCTTTAAGGCAAAAGAGATTTTAGAAAAGCTTTTTTTCTCTGTACCCATATACTTGTGGTTAAATTATTATAGAAACAAGCATAAGAAAAATTTTACAGAGTTGATGTTAAAAAAAATGGATGACAGAAGAAAAACAGAAAAGCTTTAGAGAAGGGCGCAAACATGTGGAGCAAAGAGCATCAATGGACCTAGAATAATGGTGGATGTCAGAAGCTTGAGCTTGTAAGGAGCCACAGTAAAAAGGTGGGAGAAATGTATGCAGGAACAGAAACCTGCAAACAGAGGAGAGGGATGATGGCAGTGTGGGGAGGATCTTTTTGTGTGCAGAGGACATCCAGGTTCATCTTGCTTTGCTGTGTCATATGGATTGCTAAACTTGTGGCATGAGATGTTTAAAGTTGATGTTAAACGTCCTCCCACACATCTCCATTCCAAGTTGCAGGGTCCCACTCTTTTCCAGTTAATGCCCTCACTTTAACAGTAGACACCTGACGAGCCTGAGCGTGTACCTTTCATTGCACATCAGCCACTCACATGATAAGAGCTTGTGTCTGATTTTCCACAATTTCCAGCTGTTTCTCTACAGGAGCTAAGACTCTCACTAAGGGCACTCTTAGAAGATTCGAGGCTCAGTATGTGCTTCTGGAGCCAGGAGTTAGAATCCCTGAGTTCATTGTTTTCTTTCATGACCTTGTCCAGTGAACTTAGGAGCAACCAACCAACTTCATTATATTCCTTGCTTCTCCACATATGGTCAAAGGTATTATGTGTAGAGTTGCTAAACTCTTTGCCTCTCAAGAGTGGTGAATCAGGAGTATCAAATGCATTTGTTTTGCGTAACTCTCTAAACAGTTCATGCCAAGGATGGTCAGTGTTCTCCACAGTATTAGAAGTAGAGTCCTTAGCGTTTTTGGATCTAATTATATTGAGCAGCCAACTCCAGAAACCCCAAAACCAACTAAAGAAATCTATCCTTAAAATTCTGTTTCTCTAGAACTACTTCTGGTACGAAAAGTTTGTTTTGAATAAGAGGAAATCCAAATAGAAAGCCCAATGCTGGCTGCAAAGACCAACCCAAGTTGTGGGGAAGCATATTAAACTTCCTCTTTAAAATTGGTTGAAATAAGGTATATGTGATAATTTATACCATGTCACCTCTTAAATACTAATCAGTTCACCTGTATGTGTCTCTGAAGTTTTCCCTGTTCTTTAGAGACATGGGAAAAATAAAGACCCTGTAGAAAGTGGCTCCATAAAGCTATAAAGCTGGTCACTAATTTTTTCCATGTAAGGACTGTATTTTATTCTGAGATTGTGTCCTTCTTACTTTTTAACGTTACAATGTTCTTCTGAAATGATGGTGATAGTGTATGGTAGTGCTATTTTACTATTATTACTTTGCAAAGAAGAATACAGCAGCCCTACATTGGTCTTCACATTTGTCGGGGGGCGGGGCACGAACTCTTTGCTTCAGAGAACAACAACCTCAAAAATTTACTTCTACTTAACCTGTTGAGGAACAACATAAATTGTCCAAATGGGAAATAGTAAAAATATTTGAGTCTGACCTAGAGCAATGAATGGAGAAGAGAAAGGCTTTAGATAATCTCTTCAATCTAGGAGATTGAGGGCAGAGGAAAATAATCTGAGAGAGGATTTGGTGGAGGGAAGCCAGCAGAAACTGTTTTGCTAGAAAACCACAGAAAAAATTGTGGTAAGTGCTGAGGGTATGGGAATGAATCTCTCACTCCAAAGGTTTCTAACTTTATTAATTAAAAAAGATTTTCATTAGGAGGCAATATACTTACTATTTAGAGCTAAGTAAGAAACTATATTAATATATTGAGAATTACATGATATCTAGAGAGGACAAAGAGTAGACAGAAGATAATGAGAGAAAGTAATGAAAAGGGGAGATCAGTTTCAGTGAGACAGGTGATAGAAGAGAAAACTCTGAAAAAGGAAGAAGTCAAGTGAGCCCTGTTTGCAGACAACATGATTTTATATTTAGAAAAACCTAAAGCCTTCACCAAAAATGGTTAGAATTGATAAACGAATTCAATAACGTTGCAGGATACAAAATCAGCATACAAAAATCAGTAAGATATATGCTAACAGTGAACAATCTGAAAAAGAAATCAAGAAAGCAATCCCATTTACAATAGCTACAAAGAGCGTAAAATACCTAGGAATTAATTTAATAAAAAAAAGTGAAGGATGTATACAAGGAAAACTATTAAACCCTGATGGAAAAAAATTGAAGAGGACACACAAAAAATGGAAAGATATTTTTTGCTCATGGACTGGAAGAATTAATATCATCAAAACGACAATACTCTGCAAATAAATTTACACATTTAATGCAATCCCTATCAAAATACCAATCACATTCTTTACAGAAATAGAAAAAAAAAATCTAAAATTTTTGTGGAACCACAGAAGACCCTGAATAACCAGAGCAATCCTGAGCAAAAAGAACACAACTGGAGGCATCACACTACCTGACTTCAAAATATTTTACAAAGTTATAGTAACCAAATCAGCATGGTACTGGCATAAAAACAGACATGTAGCAATGGAACAGAATAGAGAGCCCAGACATAAATCCACACATTTACAGTCGACTCATTTTCGACAAAGGCACTGAGAACATATGTTGGCGAATGGACAGTCTCTTCAGTAAATGTGCTGGAAAAACTGAATAACCATATGTTTAAGAACGAAGCTGGACCTCTGTCTCTCACCATATGCAAAATCAAATAAAAATGAATTAAATACTTAAATCTAAGACCTGAAACCATGACACCTGTGAAAGAAAACATTGGGGAAATGCTCCAGGACGTTAGTCTGGGTAAAGATTTTTTGGGTAAGACCTCAAAGCACAGGCAGCCAGAGCAGAAATAGACAAATGGGATTATATCAAGCTAAAAAGCTCCTGCACAGCAAAGGAAACAATAAACTGAAGAGATAACTCATAGAATGGGAGAAAATATTTGCAAGCTATTCATCTGACAAGAGATTAATAACCAAAATATATAAGGAGCTCAAATAACTCAATAGCAAATCCCCAAATAATCTAATTGTAAAATGGGCGAAGATCTGAATAAACATTTCTCAAAAGAAGACATGCAAATGGGCAACAGGTATATGAAAAAATGCTCAGTATCGCTAATCCTCAGAGAAATGCAGACCAAAACCACAATGAGCTGTCATCTCAATACAGTTAGAATGGCTTCTAGTGATTCTCTTGCCTCAGCCTCCAGAGTAGCTGGGACTACAGGCATGTGCCACCATGCCCAGCAAATTTTTGTAAGAAGACAGGGTATGGTAGGTGCAGTGGCTCACACTTGCAATCCCAGCACTTTGGGAGGCAGAGGCAGGAGGATCACTTGAAGCCAGGAGTTCAAGACCAGCCTGGCTAACATGGTGAAACCCTGTCTCTACTAAAAATACAAAATTAGCTGGGTGTGGTGGCACACGCCTGTAGTCCCAGCTGCTCAGGAGACTGAGGCAGCAGAATCACTTAAACCCAGGGGACAGAGGTTGCAGTGAGATGAGATGGTTCTACTGCACTCTAGCCTGGGCAACAGAGTGAGACTCCGTCTCAAAAAACAAAACAAAACAAAAACTGGATATAACAGAAGCTGGTGAGGATGTGGAGAAAGCGGTACTCTTGTACACTGTTGGTGGGATTGTAAATCAGTACAGCCACTATGGAAAACAGATGGATGTTTCTCAAAAAGCTAGAAGTTGAAATGGCATATGATCCAGCAATTCCACTACTTGGACATATATCCAGAAGAAAGGAAATCAGTATATTAAAGAGATACCTGCAGTCCCATGTTTATTGCAGCACTATTCTTAATAGCCAAAATTTAGAATCAATGTAAGTACCCATCAATTGATGAATGGGAAAAGAATATGTGGTATATATTGTAGAGATGAACAGAAAACTTCCCCTTCACCCTTGAAAGGTTGACAGAAAAATCAACTGACAAATGACAGATTAATAAGAGAAAAGGC